CGCCGTGGCGGCCGGCGGCCGGCAGGACCGCGCAGGGCCCAGCCAGCCCCCGGGAGTGTGGCGAGACTTGAGCAGAGGCAGTGAGGGAGTGTGGGGTGCAGCTCAGCCACCAGCCATCAAGTGACCCAGTGTCAGGCTGGCCGCGTTGAGAAGGTAGAGCCTGGTCGGGGCAGGAACCTCTGCCACCTGTCGGTCCCGCCGCCGGCACATGGCACAGAGCCGAGGACTGACGGAGACCTCTCGGGCCATGGTTCTGAGGGGCCGGGTGTAAAACCAATCCAAACACTTTGGAACAAAGATTCCACTCATTCAGTGCATGTATTTATGGAAGGTTCTAGGCACTGGAGATTCGGGGAACAAAGTGGACAAAACCACGCCCACATAGAGCTTCCAGTGCAGTGGGGGTAACACAGGAAAGATGAACAGATCATACAGAGTGTTGAAGGGTACCGATACCAGGGAGAAGAGCAAGAGGAGGGGCGGCTGGGGGGGGGCACCTCACCCAGGTGATGCTGCTTCAGCAAAGGTGGAAGGACTAGAGGAAGTTCGCTGGCACTGGTGTTGGGGGGAGGTCTCCCAGGCAGGGAGGGAGCAGGCCTGGGGGGTTAGGGGGTGGGGGCCAGAGATGAGGTGAGAGAGGGTTTCCTTGGGGGCTCGGAGCTGTTAGCACCTAGACACACAGTCTGTGCTCCGTAAGCAACTGTCGACCCCCCTCTAGGAATCGTGCTTCCCAAGAGCACGGGAGGTGCTGAACAGAACAGGCAGTAAGGACAGTCAGGAGGCCACCCCTATCATCCAGGCGAGAGGTGGCCGTGCTTGCACCCTGGAGGGACCTGGAGCCCTGAGGAGGGCTCAGCTTCTGGGTGTGTTTGGAAGGAACAGCCGCCGGATGAGATGGGAGGAGCAGAGGAGTGGGGTCAGGAGTGACTCCTAGTTCTATGACCTGAGCCCTGGCAGGGGAGGGATGGATGCTATGTCCTCGGAGGAGCTGGTTTTGGGGTGAGTGGCCTTAGGCGTTCTTCATTAGATATGAGATCTGGTTAAAGAAACCTAGGGGGCAGGAGGGGTGTGGAGCCGCTGGGCCCCCCAGCACCACCCCCTGGCTGCTTGAGGACAGTGCCTGGAAGTGCATGCGGACAGCTCCCAGGCAGCAAGGGTGCCCACCCAAGGACGGCTAGTTTGGAATCCGCAGTCTGCAGGTGGCTCCAGTGGATCGCCCCAGTTTGCTGGCAGGTGGTCACTGATACTAATAGTCCCAGTATCTAACAGGAGTGAAGCGTTCCTAAGCGCTGTCTCTGTTCTTGGTCGCCTGACCTGCTGTGTGCCAGGCTTCCATGCATTGCTGATTTCCTCCTAAAAGGAAACACCGTCCCATTTTCACATACAGCAAAACTGAGTCTCAGCGAAGTTAAGTCTCGCGCCGAAGGCGACACAGCTAGATGCTGAGTCTCAGCCTGTGGGAATGTTGGCATGACTGCTCTTTTTCCTGGGAGGTGATCGTGCAGGGTGGAGGCGCAGAAAGGAAGGCACTCCCGCTCACTGGCCATCTGATCTTGTGCCAGGCACCATCTGATATGTTATCTCATTCAGTTCTCCCAGTAAGTTCACGAGTAGAGTTTTATTTTCCCCGTTTGGCAGACAGGAGGTCCAGTGATTCATTAGCTCAAGGTCACCCAGCTGGTGAAGGATAGAGCTGCACTTCAGTCCCTGGGGATCTGACTCCACAGCCCATTTCCTTCCACCAGACACCAGTAAAGGAGGGGAAATTGGAAAAAAAAAAAAAAAAACACTAAAGGAAAACAAAACAAAGCAGAGGAAGCCCTGGGTGAATCACTCATCCTTTTGTTCTGAGTCACCCCCGACTGTGCCCTTGCTCTGGGAAGGTGTGAGCACGCGTGTGTGCGCGTGAGTGTGTGTGCACGCTAGTGGAGGGGGCGAAGGGAGTGTGCTGAAGCCTGCTCTCTGGCCATGTGTGGAGGAACGTTGGAGGGACAAAGCAGTACTGGGTGCCTGGGAACCCTTAGCACACTGGCACCACCTGGGGGGCTTTCAAAAATTCCGATGCCCACACCGTGCCCCAGAATATGGGTGTGGACCTGAGACTCAGTATTTTTGTTACTTTTTTGAACTTCGATGTATTTTTTTAAGATTTTATTTATTTATTTATCAGAGAGAGAGAGCACCCAAGCAGGGGGAGCGGCAGGCAGAGAGAGGGAAAAGCAGGTTCCCCTCTGAGCAGGAAGCCCGATGTGGAACTCGATCCCAGGATCCTGGGATCGTGACCTGAGCCGAAGGCAGACGCTTAACCGACTGAGCCACCCAGGCGCCCCGCCTGTGATATTTTTTAAAGCTCCCCAGGTGAATCCAGTTTGCAGCCAAGAGTGGGAACCACTGCTTCCAAAAGCTGCTCCCAGTCTCCTTGGGAATTTGGGGCAGGTGGGGACAGTGGAGGTTGCTAGTGGCCCTGAGCATCCTGCCCACCATAGGCTAGAGGGAGAGTAGGGTGCATGATATGTATGGTGCCTGGGCCTGCAGCAGACTCTAATGCCCCCTCCTCATTCACTTTTAAACTAATGGAAGGACCGGCTCCTGGTGAAGCTCACCATCTCCTATCTAATCTCAGGCTTGCAAGTACAGGCATGGTGTGGTGAGCCTTCCTCTTACTGAAGGACCTATAAGTCCTTGGCTCCACCATCCAGGCCTTCACTTCCCTCACCCACCCCCTAATGGACTGTCAGCTGCATGGGAGCAAGGACAGTGGGTCATGCCTTGTTGTAACCCAACTGTTGCATTATCACCCACCTATTCATAACTGTGTGAATGAGTCAGTGGATGGAGGGATGGATGGAGGGATGGATGGATGGATGGATGGATGGACAGACGGATATATGGATGGAAGGGAGGTGGGGTGAGCCCTCATCTGTATTGGGCTCCTCCCACATGTCAGGTGCTTGAAATCCCAACCACCCAAAGAAGTAGGTATTATTTGTCGCATTTCCTTGATGACAAAATTGACACTTAAAAGGTTAAGTAGCTTGCCCAACGTCACCATATTAGTTATGGAGCTGGAATTTGAACTTTAGATTGTCTATCGCCAAAGACCATGCATGAGCTGTCTACTCCTTCCCTCTTTACACCGGGGAGTCTAGCCTGGAAGGAGAGCTGCCTCCTCCTCTGAGGATGACTGTGTACAAAACCGAGATAATTTCTGCAAGGGAAAGTTAAAACAAAGCAAGTAAAACAATGACATAGAACAGCCGGTAACATCTGAGGCTTTAATGCGGTCCCTTGTTTATTCTCAACAGCTGCATGAGGTTGGTTTGATCAAGATACTTAAGTGATGTGCCCAAGGTCACGTAGCCAGCAAATGGCAGAGCCAGTATTCAAAACCCAGATCTGTCTGCCTGTAAGTTGCATGATCCTTCCAGCAAACCACCCTGCTCTCAGGCCTGGCCCAACTGTATTAAACACAGAGTAATGTTTGTACAACCAAAATAGCCAAAGAGTGTAATTCAGAGGTCACTCTTTGCCCATAGAAGTATTTAGTTTGGCCTACAGAACGTTTTGAAAAAAAAAAAAATTTGGAACATATTGCCAACATTTACAAATCATACACAAATCTGGACTTTTGGATTCTCTTGGAAACTGAGCAGAATGGACAAGACCAAGCTCACTTTTCTGCCCGGCCACAGTGCCTGGTGCCCAGGAGCAGTGACCTCTGGTAGCCAAAGCTTGCATTCACTCATTTGCCACAATTCCACCTTTCTCTGAGTTACGTGTCAGTGTTGGGACTGCTCATTCTTAGGACCTGTCTTGTCTCGGCCTAGTTACGTGCACATCTCCAAACACAGGTTTAACCTGTCTTGGGGACCATCCAATGGTTGAATTGACCATTTGTCACAAGATCGTCTGTGGGACTCTTCTTTCTCTTTCCCCTTCTGGCCCCAAGGTGCCTTCCTCTCTATGGCCATCAGACCCTGGCCGCTTGTCTTTCTTGCCTTAGGGTTTTGTGAACTCAGACACCATGGCAACATTTCTAGGAAGATGTTTCGTAGAACACTAGCAAGTTGCATGTTTGTGTGTATGTGTGTACATGTGATGTGTGTATCTGTGAGTGTGCACATGTGTGGTGGGCTGGAGGAGTCGTAAAAGTCTACCTGGACAAAGCAATTCCCTGTGCAGATAAGTTTCAAAAACAAAGGCCTCTTATATCTCCCATTTTGGAATTTTACAGTGGATATGAACATTTAAAACTTCTCAGAAATTCTGTATACTTGTTTAACTTTCTTTATTCCAGTGTCTGCAAACCTATATGACCAGGGAACCATTGGCAAGTGTAATACATATTAAAATCTGTGGACCAGTTTTCCTTCCAGATAAAAGGAAAGGAAATACACAGGGGCTCATGGTGAGGGGAAGCTAAGAGGCTCTAGGGAGTGAAAGCAGGACCCAAGATACAAGGAGATACGAGGTATAGATGGATTGGGAAGGTGGTTTTCCAGGCCTCTGGTGGGGAAGGGCAGGCAGGAGAGGCAGTTTCAGGGCCTGCACAATCTCTGGGTCCATGAGAGAATGTCTATAAAGACGTGGTGCCAGGCATGTAGTAAGAGGTCAGTACAGCTGTAGAGATTAGTATGATCACTGTGAACTGACCTACCTTTTTAATGACCTTGAAAAACAGCTCTAAGAGGGAAAGAAATGATGAGACAGCCTCCTGTAATGAAGGGATTCTAGTGTAGGAAGGCTCAGCCAGATTTCTCACCGGGTATGAGGAGAGACTATATGACTTTCTATATATATAAGCAGTCAGTCTCAAACTTGGGTGTAAATGAGAATCACCTGGGAACCCTGTTAAATGTTTATATGCCCACCTTCACTTCTAGAGAATTTTACTCAGTAAGTCTGGGGTGGGGCTCAAGGATAACATTTTTCACCAACACATCAGATGATTCTATGCAGGTGTTGCTGCAAGTTCTCTTTGAGCACACTGTTTTGTGGGGCTAATAATTAGTCTGAATAAAAGGGAGAAAAGTAAAGGACGGGAGAATCAAGGGTGGTACTTGGAAAGCTAAAGACAGATGACTTTGAATGAAAGTTGAAGCATGAATCAATGATAAAAGAGCAGAAAGTGCTTATAATTAACTGTGAGGCACAGGTAGGATTGTCTGACTTGAAATTATGGTCATAACCCTCATCAACCACCCACCTCAGGAGATATAATAGGTTAGCTGAGGATGAGAGACGATGCTATGTGTGAACATGTAATTGGGTGCATATGGCGTCATAGTTATGGAGAAGTCTTGATTCAGCACTAAGGGAAGAAAGGTGTTCTTGGGTTTATGAGGCTTTGCGTACTTTTTCAGAAGTTAGGCTACTGTGCCATGATGCCTAGTAACCTCTCTTCATCATGCTGGGTCATGTATTTTGGATAAAAGCTTGGACGATTCAAGCTAAATGACTGCCATTCCAGATAGAAGCATGAGATCAGAAAGTCCTGAAAGGAAGTCTCTGGGAACAAAAAAGGACATGATAGAGCACTTGAAGAGCAAGCAAACACCAACAGTTGTCCCCCCAGCTTGAGGATATTATAAAGAGCAAAGTAAAGAAAAAGCAAAAGCAATTAGAACCCCAGGAAAAACAAAAAGCTTCATGAGAAAGAAAATTCAAACAAATACAGTATCTCATGCTTCAGCAACATTATTTATGTAGTCATAATATTGTAAATACTGATTATTGCATAACCAAAAATTATGAAAATAAAACCAAGATAGGTGATGTGTCTGGTGGTATTGAGGAGTTAAGTCATCAGCTGTCATATAGGAACATTGATAGGTTATCCAAGATTGATATTTTAAGTCAATCGAGTTATAAGAGAAGACATATACTATATAGTGATAACTACCAGAAGAAAGGGCTAAAAAGTTAAAAGTGACAGTGGTAACTGAAGGAACATGGGTGTGTAGGAAGGGATGATTGTAGCCTGATGGATTTTATTCTTTCAAGGTTACTGGATTTAAAAAAAAAAAACATATTATTTAAATTTAGAATGTTACTAAAATATCTGGGGCTCTGATGAGTTTCGGTGCCCCTGGAAGGCATAGGCATCCCGCAAAGGGTCTACAACTCAGAGAATAAAACCATGCTTAGGTCTTCCTTGGTGGGTCCCTATTCCCCAGTCAGCCATGGATGTGCCTCCAGGACCGAGAAGAGAGCAGGAAGCCAGGCTCTGGAGGCAAGAGGAATGCAGGCATCCCTCCCTCTTCAGGAAGGGCCCAGCTTCTGACCTTTAATCATAGACTAGAGTAGGAAGGGGGCAGAGACTGGCCAGGGGAAGGGCTACAGGTGAGGGCTAGAGCTGGGGGTGCTGGGGCCTGGCCAGAAGGTAGGGAGGGTCTCACTTACGTGCACACACTCCTATTGCGTACCTCGGGCGGTCCCCACTGTAATCGCAGTAGAGGCCCCGGTGGGGGTCACAGATGGCTGCCTCTGTGCAGTTGTCCCCGAGCTGCTGAGCACACATTTTACAGCATTCACAGCCGTCTGTGATGAGGCTGACCCCCAGTGGGCAGCGGGGTGGGGACGGCGGGCACTCACATGGCCACTTGCAGAATTGGGGGCGTGAAGATGTATCCTCCAGTGGCACTGGGGTGAAGGTCATGGCCGTGGGGGCTGGAGAGAAGGCCTGTAGGGGAAAAGCAGAGATAAAGGGCTGCCAGGCAGGGGTGTCACAGCCTAAAGGGTCGGCAATCACCTTCTCATCTTCTTGGTGTTAAAAGGTTTACATAAAATTATGGTTTTTTCTACCATGTTTTTAATAGCCAGACATCTCCTTTCTCTTCAGTAAAACAAATAGGAGCAAAGAGCCAGGAGGTCGGAGAAGTTAAGCCAATTTCCCCAGTCCCCTTACCGGAGGTGGTGGGGCCCTGATTCTATGTCAGAACTCTGGCCACACTAAGCCTCATATGTGTTTCCTTCCATCCTCGAGCATCCCACAACCTGGGTGTGTTTCCTTCCATCCTCAAGCATTCCACAACCTGGGAGGGCACTGAGTCAGTCTCATTTCACAGATGTGGGACCCGAGGCTCTGAGTAGCGAATGCCTTCTGATGAGTCATGTTTCGAGGCGCAGCCCGGATCCCATTGCCTTTCCTCCTCTGCGCAAAGAGCCACCCTCTTCACTCCACTATGGGTCCTTGGGAACTTGCAGAGCCAGATGACTCATACTTGACAGCAGATTTTAGCCAGATGACCTATTATTATTATAATTAGTTGCCCTCTGAGCCCCAGAAAAGGCTGCGGTGGGGTGCGGCAGGTGACCCCTTCAGAGCCCACTGTGGCTGGCTCTCCCTGTCCTGTAGAAGGGAGTTAGGCCCCTGTTGCTAGTGCCAGGCCTACAGACAGGAGTCCCCCTGCCCACGCACCTCCCATGGCCGCATTCCCATCCCCAAGCCCCCAGGTTCATCGTCACCCTGAAAATACGATGGACGCAACACTGGGAAGCTGGGAAGAGGAGAGATAGGCCCAAAGAGCCATCCCTGCCCTGAAGAACAGGGAGATAGAATGGGAGGCTGCTCTGGGGTGTCTTTGAGTTTAAGAGTTTCAAGCCGCCTGTATCTCTGGGAGCCAGTCACCTTCGCACCCCCTCTGGCTGCCGCCCTGAACCCCTGTCCTGGACCCTTGCTCTTTACACTGGAGGAAGCAGAGACCGCAGGAGAAAGGGAATTGTCTGAGGACAGAGAGTGTGCACATGGCTCCCGGCCATTCTCCCATCCCCAGGCCAGTGTGGTCCCTGCTGGGGAGCATCCCGTCCCGGGCTTCTGAACCGTGATTCCAGAATTCCAAGGTCAGCAGAGGTGGGGACCAGGGCTTCACCCCCTCCACCTCGAACCCGAGAAACCCTGCTCGGTGGAGGTTAGAGATCTGCATTTCAATCTTGGAACGACACATGCTGACATATTCAGATTCTTCTTCCCTTTTCCCGGGGAGGAAACTGAGACCCAGAGAGGCAGAGGAACATGTCCAGGATGACACAATATGTGTCAGGATCTAGGCACAAACCACTCTTATAAGTCTCATTTCTGGGGCGCCTGGGTGGCTCAGTCGTTAAGCGTCTGCCTTCGGCTCAGGTCATGATCCCGGGGTCCTGGGATCGAGCCCTGCATCGGGCTCCCTGCTC